GCCCAGGATCTGTCAGGCCTAAGGATCAAATACAGGTTTTGGGGCTAGAGCAGAGTTGGGTCTTGGGAGGACTTTTCAGAATCTGAATATCAACTAGGGTAGCATGGAAGCCCATGAGCAGTCAGTGAGGCCAGGAAGCTTAGACAGGAGACAAGGGTTGACAATGCCAGTCTTAAGACTGTGTAGGGGGGCTGGGGAGATGGCTCAGTAAAATAAGTGCTTGTCTGGCAAGTGCAAGGGCCTGAGTTCAATCCCCAGTTCCGCCAAAAAAAAAAAAAAAAAAAAAAAAAAAAAAAAAAAAAAAGAAGACTGTGTAGGAAGGCAGGCTAAAACTCCCAGACCAGCTGAGGTTGTCAGAGAAACCAAGAAGTGGGTCAGACAAACTTGTAGACTCTGCACTGCAGGGGCCAGCTTGGGCTTGGGGGAGGTGATAACCCAGCCGGAGAGGATGATGCTGAGGTCCTGAGCCCATCAGTGCGTGGAGGAGTGGGGGTCAGAGTGCAGCGAGGGGCATCATTCTTTCTTAGTGCTGGCTATTGCAGAAGAGAGAGCATCTTGAGGGCTGAGAGCTGGGTTCTGAGGTTGGGTGGCAGCTGCTGTCGTCTGCTGTGAGCAGTGTTTGGTGCACCATCCTATAACTAGTTCTTCCTGCGCATTCCTAATTATTTGGGACACATTTCCAGAAGGAGGATTACTTTGTTGACTACCATCAGAGAGGGCTCTGTGTGCTCTCCCAGATTTCCTCCAGGAAGTTTGTTGTATTTACTGGCTGAGCTACAGACTAGCTCTTGCTGTCTGCTGGCTGTCTCAGGGAGTCCTTTATGTTTGATCCTTACTCCCCTTTTTCTTCTTTTCCTTTTTTACCTCCTTTCCTTTTCTCTCTCCTTATCTCTTTTTCTCTCTCTCAAAGGTAGTAGGAATTTAACTAAGGATCTTTGCCCAAAGCTATACTCCCAGTGCTTTTTCATTTCTTATTTTGAAAGAGGATCTTGCTAAGTTACTTAATTGCCTAGGCTGGGCTCAAATTTGTGATCCTCCTGCCTCATCCTCCCAAAGAACTCAGACTACAGGCCTATGTCGCCAGACCTGGCACATTTTGATTATTTTCATTTTGATTCATCTCTTCATGTGCCTAGTTATTTGTAAGATGATCATCATTTTCTGCATTCATTGCTAATGTCTTTATTAATTTTTTTTTTTTTTTTTGCGGAACCGGGGATTGAACTCAGGCCCTTGCACTTGCCAGGGAAGCGCTTATTCCACTGAGCCATCTCCCCCGCCCTTTATTAAATTTTTTTGTGTATTGTACATCAGCCAGGTTTTCCTTTTCTTTGTAATTTTTACATAGAAGAGCTGGACTATTTTCTGACTTCAGAGATACTTTCATCTGTTTTATTATTTCTGTCTTTATTATCATCTGTTCAAAATAATTCTTTACCCCCAAACTGCTTATTTACCTAAGTATTGTTTTGATGCAGTGATGTAATTTTAACATTCATGAACCATTTTATGTATTGTATTGATAGAAGGTAGTAATCTAGTGGCCGAGGAGATGGCTCAGTAGAATAAGCGTTTGCCTGGCAAGCACAAGGGCCTGAGTTCAGTCCCCGGTTACGCCAAAAAAAAGAAGGTAGTAATCTAATTTTAGATGTTTATGTAGCTGATCTGATACTGCGTTTACCCTAGACCAAGCTAGTTATGTCTCCTTATATCTTAACACATAGCCCCTAAAATCTCTGATCATAGTTTTGTTTTCCCCTTGCAGTGAGGTGGCAGGTGAGCTGCCGTGGCCAGGGCTTGTAGCCTCTTTGTCAATATATATTCCCTGAACCCACAGTCCAGCACTAGTCTGCAGCACATAGTGTGAGATAGCTTATAACCTGAACTCTCAGTGTGGATTAGATTGCTCTAGCCCTCCTGAATCTACTAGCTGCTTGATCTCTGGGTAGCTAACTTGTCATTTCTCATCAAACATGGGGCACAAAAGCAGTACCTGTGATGTATACAGTTGTGAGGACCAAGTGGGCCTGCCCATGGGGGTCCAACCTACACCAGGCACAGCAAGTACCTGAGAAATGCCAGCTGTTGCATGCATCTGCTTGCCTCTAACAGGCCTCTGCATGCTCATGGACTACACTGTACTCTGAGAACTTGTCAGATGAAGTGCTGCTGTGACTTATCCCTTCCTGTCGCTTTTCAACAGACAACACACAGTTTGGCTCACAGTCTCTAAGGCAAGGTGGTACCAGCCAGAGTTGCTGCTGTCCTACCACAAGCCCATGTGCACTGAATTCACAGACTCCATCTCTGCATTTTTCTTTAATGTCAAGACCATGGCACTGCTTCTTCCAGATGTGGCCTGTGGCACATAGTGAGGCATCGGGGACTATGGTTTTCTGGGTCTCCTGGTATCTCACTCCAGGTAGAGATAAAATTGCTGACACTTTGGTGGCTGCCAGACTTAGAATTAAGATGTCTTCCTACTAGCACATTCCATCTGACATTTGCTAAAGCCCATAAAAAGTAATTGCCTTTAAAAATGGTGTGTAGGGGTAGGGATTGGCTGGCAAGAACATTAGAGTGAAGGCATGGGGGAGAGATAGAAGTTACCTGCTTTTTCCTCTAGGGAAGAAAGTGGAATATAACACCTTCATTTTCTTGGGGAACAGGAAAGGTACAGTTGGGTAGTTAAATTTGAACGAGATTAGCACAACACAAAAAAAGAGAGGGGCATTTAACAAGCAATTCCCTAGAGGGGAAGATTAAAGTGAACAGGTGCTAGAAAAATGTTTCTGCATATTAGAGCTTAATTAGATTTGAAGATGAATTCCAGATGGGCTAATTACGTGTGAGTTGTTGCAGGTTATTTCTTGTAGGGGCAAGCTTGTATTTTTGGAAATGGTGATTTAGTTTGATTGGATTGATTCCTGCCTCCTGTCATATCTCCTTCATCAGGAAACCACCTCCTCTGAGGCCCTGGGACCCCATTCAGCATCTCCTATCTTTGGGACCTCTGTTGCAGTCAGCAGAGCCATAGACTGTCCTGAGCACATGGCTACCTACCATGTGGGGCAGAAAGTTGTTTCAGCTCCAGGAGAGGCCAGCAACAAAACTATGTTTGCAGGGACATGGCATTTGCCTGGGAAGGCACAGCCTACTTGACCTGAAAGTGTAGTCAGAACAAGTGCTCCTCGTGTACCAGCTGATGAAGTGCATTTGGTCTGTTTCCTCTGAGAGGAAAGGGCCAATCTTTGTTCATGGCACTTAAGGTAGCAAATAGAGAAAAGGCAGGAGACTGATAAACAGATATATTTCAGATCAGAAATTTAAAACAAGGAGCAGGACTACTTGGACTCAGTGATGTCCCATTAGGATGATGAAATAGTTTGACTTAAGAACAGTTTGTGATGATTGTCTGAAAAGTCAGTGCAGCTCTGTGCCACATGATGTGGATATGCTGGGAGTGGCCTCTTAACACACTTGGGGACATGTGCTTGGCAACCAATTCAGGCCTGAAGGTTCAATAAATGTAAACTTTTATCTAAGGGCCTATAATTGGAAATTATGGGTATATAATTTATATATGGCTCAATGAATGATTTATATAATGTTAAATGATTTAGATAGAAAATATAGCCCCTCCTGTAGAATCTTCAATGAAGATTGTTGGTTCTGATGAATTTATTTCTAGAGCTCTGTTGGAACTCAGCATGTTTGACATAAATCAGATCCAATTGTCATTTTATGATTAATGAACATATGCTGGCCGTTTCTTCCCATAATTAAACTTTATGTTCTGTGCATCTGACAATGCAAAACAAGTTTAGACTTTAACAGATTGGTGGTGGGGTTTCCATGCGTGCCTATTTGAGTGTGTGTGCTTGTTTGTGCATGCTTTTTGTCAGTACACAGTGCTAATACTAACTTCTCATAGCTGGGGTAGCAGAGGCTTGAGTGATACTCCTAAGAGTTAGCAGTTAGACTTGTGAGACTTGGGGTGACAGAAGTGGATGGACAAAGGCCCAGCCCAAGTGGGGAGTGTCGCCCTGCTGCTTCCACCTCCTAGCTAGGTCTCCAGGCTCTGCACCGTGCAGAGGGGGAAATCTAAAGCACCTTCCTGGGCTGGTGGGATGGCTCAGTGGTCTAGAGCACCTACTTAGAACAAGCTTAGCAAAGCACAGGGACCACGGTTCTGTCCCCCAGCACCACATGCCAGCCAGCCCCGCCTGCTGGTGGGCTGAGCTGGACACACACACACACACATAAAATAAAATAATAAAATAAAAAATAAAGCACCTTCCTCTGTGGAGGCTCCCAGTAGCCTGCAAACAGCTGTTCTGTCCTAAAGAGTTCTAAACTTTAGGGACTGATGCGAAGTAATTGGTTGTAAAAATATATACATTTTCCTTTTTGCTTTTTTTTTTTTTTTTTTTTTTGTATTTTGTGCAGGTTCTCACTACGCTGCTTGGAATTGTAGTGATCCTCCTGTTTTCAGCCTCCCCAGTGCTGGGATTACAGGCATGTGCCACCACTCCTGGACTCTGTTGCCTGGGGATGGGGCTGGCGCAGCAGGTGGTGCCAGGAATCAAACCCCAGCACCTGTGCTTGCCCAAGAAGGTGCTTAGTTCGCTGAGCTATCTCGCCAGCCCTCCTTTTTACTTTTTATGCACATCAGCAAGGAGTTTAATTTGAAAGGTGAGGTGTTTCTGGGAGTGGCGGTACATGCCTGTGATTCCAGCACTCAGAAGGCTAGCACAAGAGAATTACCACCCCTTAGAGGTCAGCCTCTACTACATAATGCTAAGTAGAACTTAAAAAGTAAAGGGGTGAGGGGCTGGGGAGATAGCTCAGTTGAATAAGCACGTGCCTGGCAAGCCCAAGGGCCTGAGTTCAATCCCTGGTTCCCGCAAAAAAAAAGTAAAGGGGTGAGATGTTTGTGGAAGAAACGTTATGTCACTGGTTGCCTTCACTCAATGGCCATTCACCTTTGATTATTTCAGGATATAGACAAGTTTGGCAACGAGATCACCCAGCTGGCCCGGCCCTTGCCTGTGGAATATCTAATCATAGACGTAAGTGCTCCCCACTCGCCCTGCACAGGTTGTCCCGTGGGTACGATGGAAGTCTGGGTTTGGGTGGAGGCCATTCGAGAGAACAAGTGATCCTTGGGCTACACCAATCAGATTTTATTGGTATATTTTAGATATTTATAATGATCATAGAGAATTTGTAACTATATGGTATAACTTGATTATTTTATTTTCCCATTCCCCTCTCTTCCTTTCAACCCATCCTCTCCACCCTGTTTACAAAAGCTTTGTTTCTATTTTTTCCTTATCTCAGTTTTCTTTTTTACTTTTCCTTTCTTTCCTTTCCTCTTCCCTCATTCCTTATCCTCTTCCCCATTTGAACTTTTTCTTACTATTTCACATTACCTGTTATACATTTTGGTCCTTATTTGCATTATTAGCTTCTCACACCAAAGAACAAGGTGGTATTTACCCATGTGTGTCCGATTTATTTCACTTAAGATTGTCTCAAGGTGCATCCATTTACCTAGAAATGTCTTCTTTACTCCATTGTATAAAAACCCCACATCTTCATTGGTTGATGGGCATTTGGGCTGTTTTCAAGGTTTGGCTATTACAAACTATACCACTATAAACTTGGGTATGCATATATTGTTATAGTATGATTGGTTTAATTGTTTTGGGAACATAGCAAAAATGGCTGGGTCAAATGGAACCTCTAGCCCTATATTTTTGAGGAATATTCTTTTTTTTTTTCTGGAACCAAGGATTGAACTCAGGTCCTTGCACTTGCCAAGCAACTGCTTTTTCTACTGAGCCATCTCCCCGGCCCCAATATTCATGGTTTTAAAGACCATATCAGGTTTTTATATCCTTGAAAACAACCCGGGGATTAAATTTCCCTATATTGAAGTAAAGAGGATCCTGGTCCAGCAGTCTCTGGAAGGCAGCAAATAAGACTGAATCCTGAGGGTATCGCACAGACTTGCCACACACTTTGGACTTGCTTGGGGCTGCATGCTATTCAGTATGCATAGATGCTGCATAGTCAGACCTGTGATAGCCAAAATGCTTCTGCAACTTGGTAAAGTGAGAATCAACATGGTTTCCTGGGTGGAGCTGCAGGAGCCAAGATGGATGGGTCTGGTGCTGTATTTCTCCTAATCTCTTCTCCTTTCTGGAGGCATCCATGTGGTGCATAGATGTGACCAAGCCCTTAGCCACAGAGCAGTAGGTGCTGCAGGGCAAAACCTAGTGCCTTGGATGCAGCTAGGATGTCACTGCTTACATGAGCTCTGTTCACAAGGATAGAAGTGGCTCATTTCCTACACTGCTGTTGTGCCAGAATCCATTCAGGCTACATTTCAGCTCAGGACAGGCATAGATTTAGGCAGTAAAATATCATTGCATTTGGAGCAGTGGATCCCCTGAGCCAAGCCCATTGATGCTCTATTGCAATTGACAGCTCCTGAGAACATATTTATTACCTAAGCTATAAAGGCATCTGTTTTTTAGACTACCTAGGGTGTAATTAAGATGAAAACAGATTGATGGAATATACACTTAGGAGGAGTGGGCATGATTTAGCTGCTCCTCTCCCACCCCCTTCTGTGGGAAGTGAAGTTCTTGGCACAGTGTGCTCTTTCGTAGTGCTTGGTTGCTGGGGGAGAATTCGGCCCCAAGTTCTCTATCCCTATGGAAATGAGGTCTGAGGAGTCCCTTGACAGCAGGTGCCCACAGAAATGTGTTTAGCTTCTTGCCTAGCCCCAGAGAGCCAGGTCCAGCTATTGTATTTCTGCTGGCAGGGATGGAATGGGGTACGTGTGGAAACACAGACCCTTGCTTTAGCTAGCTAAGTGCTGTACCACTGAACTATCTTCCCAACCCTTTTTTAGATTTTATTTTTGAGCAATGGTCTTGCTGACTTGCCCAGGCTGGCCTTCAACTTATGATCTTGTTGGCTCAGCTGGAATTACAGGTGTGCACCACTGCTCCTGGGTGCTATTCCTGAACCTAAGGGTAAGCATGGCTATTTCAGGCAGGAAAAGTACAAATAAGTGTTTCCTGGGCTTCTGTGGAAGTATTGGGGCATTGGCCAGTTCATGGCTCCAAGACAGACTAGGTAGAGAGACAACTTAAGTACAAGACAAAGGAGCTGGACCCTTGGAGCAGTTATTTGGGGCCCCATAGACTTTGATTATGTCACTCCCCAGGAGCCTCTTAAAGGACTAGCAAATGTCTCCTGGTTGACTAGTTTGCTTGTTGTTGTGTGTTCTGCAGTTGCCCCTCTATTCCTGCCTCTGTCTTCCCAAAAGGAAGGCTCAAACGGTCCCAGGATTTTGTCTCTGTAGTATGGGCACACACACCCATATCTTTAGAGCCACAAGTCCATCTAGGACTGTGCCATGCATGCCAGCCCTGCATTGTGTACCTCCCTTTTAGAGCCACTCCTGTCACCTCTGTCCCCCAGATGAGCAGAGTGAGGCCAAACAACCAGCACATCACTGTGGCCCAAGTCCTCACTGTGGCCCTGCTTCCGCACAGCCTGTGTTTGAAGGACCAGCTGGCCCCCTTCAGCTCATCTTTCCAGAGTGCTGACACTGGCACAGCTGACTGCAGAAACAGCTTGCTACCTTTGCTGATGTGGAAAACAGACCAGAACAATGTTTCATTCTTCAGAAGTAGTCTCTCGGGAGCCACAATAGCTACCCTAAATCTGAAAGGGGTATGACCTGCCCCTGCTAGTGTCACATGCAGAGGAAAGCCGCGTCAGCCAGAGGTGGTTGATAGCTCACACTTGGGTGCTTTTGTGGGCCGAGACATCTGCTGAGAGGAATAAAACTAGTATTTGTATTGATTCTTTCACATTCACCACTGTCCTCATAGCTTCTATTGATTACATGTTAGATTTAAAATGCCCTCTGCTGTTCTGAAAGCATGTTGGAGCAAAATGAAGGGCTTGGGTCACCTTTGATGGAAGCTCTCAACACCAGGTCACCCTTTTTTTGAGGGATAAAACGGCCTGTGATTCTTAGCCCTGGCTGCAAAGCCTGTGCACAGCCTGTATAAGCAGCTTTCTTGAAGTTGCTCTGCTTCTCAGCTGACTCTGCAAGCTTCCAAGCCTGGTGGTGTGAACTTTATGCCTCCTACCTTCCTCCATTCCCTTCCAGTGGGGCTGACAGTGGTGGTATGAGACTGTCAGACATTGGAAGCTAGACTCTGCAGAAGCTAGTGCAGAGCTAGGAGCTGCTCAGATGTGTGAGCTTTGAAAGCTGGATTCTTCAGCTTGTTTGACAGTCTCACGGCTTCAGATGTTCCATTTAGGGACAACAGTAATAGTTAACTGATCCTTGCAATATGGAGTTTGTAGGACTCTCAGAATCCCTGTGTATGAAAATAATAATAAGTAAATAAATAAATATTATTGGGGGCTCACCATGGCAGCCATCTGGACGGCTGACTGCACAGCCTCTGCCCCCTTCCTCCTGGGATCCTGAGCTCACCCACACCCAGGCCCTCTTTCCTTCAGGAAGAGGGACAGCAATAAATTTTATTTAAAAAAAAAAAAAGAATCCCTGTATATGTAACTTGCCCTGGCATTTTCTGGTGCTACTTGAATGAGCCTGAACATATCCACTCTATTCTCAGCTGAGTTTATCTTGGTTGTGTTTTTCTTCGTTAGATCACAACAACCTTCCCCAAGGATCCAGTTTACACATTTTCTATTTCGCAAAATCCATTTCCTATTGAAAACCGGGATGTACTAGGTGAGACACAGGTAAGCTCTTCAATTTTTTTCCCCCAGGGTTTACCACACTTTGAAACTGCCATCATTAATTATTCTTGCAGCAAGTCCCATGAGAGAGATCGTTTTGGGGATCACTGGATCATGCGGGCACCTCTCTTGCCTAGGTGATAGATGACTGCAGTATAAGTCCTTGGCCTACAATTTTGCCTAAAGTACCATTCTCAGTTGACTGCTTAATTTTTCTAAAATTTACTATTCATTTTGTGTGGTTGGTTTGTTTGTTAATGTACATTTCTTGGAGCTGAACAGTGGAGACAGTCTTGCTTCCTTGGTACCGTGCCTTTCTCCTATGTATTTAATGGCCACTCCAGCTCCATCTGGGCCAGGGGGGCTCATTGTAGCATGGTGTGTGGTTCCAGAGGGCTTGTTGCTCAAGCTGCTCTCACCAGCAGCTCAAGCCTCACCAGGATTTTCTGTCATTGCCTCAAGCTCAAGCGTGTGGCAGTCTGGGCTCTACCTTTGCCTAGGTGCCAGCTTGGTGCCCATGTTTCAGATCACTGGGGAATTCCTATAAGCAAGGTTCTTTTCTAATGTGGTTTATTGATGAAGCCTCTTCTGGCACTCAGATTCTTCATTCCTGTCTTCTGGGGGACATGACATGTTTGTCAGGGGAAAAGGCAGTCCTTTTGAGGCTCCTGTGCTCAGTGCTGTTGGGATATACTCACACTGGGATGTGACTGCTGTCTCTGTTCCACCCCCTCACTCTGTGCTGCCCTAGCTCAGGAAGGTAGCTAGATGAGAGCAGATGGGTCTCTTCCCTGCTGTGAAGTGGGCCTTTCTTCACTCACTCCACTTCAAAGAAACGGGGTGTGGTGTTTTGCATTTGTCTGACACTGCTCCTCATACACCTTAGTCCTTTCACACCTTGTTAGGCAGATATGTTGAACACTTCTAGGAGGGTCAGATGCTTACTTTGTGCTGTTTGTGCCTCTTTTCTTAGACCCTCACCAGTGGTTGCAGAAGAGAGGGTGAGATTTTGCTTAGCATTATGTGTTTCTCAGTACTAGTAGCTTACCCCAGGGGCTGAGTCTGGAAGTAGTAACACAGTGTCCACGTTTATTCTTCTCTCCTGCGCCTTTGTCTCCAGGACTTCCACAGTTTGGCCACCTATTTGTCCCAGAATACCTCGTCTGTGTTCTTGGATACCATCTCGGATTTCCACCTATTGCTGTTTCTGGTCACCAATGAAGTTATGCCTCTTCAGGTAGGGTCTGGATTGGAACGGATGCCCCTTGGCTCCTTTTCTTTTCTTAAATCAGAGTGTGGTGGGAAGCTGGTGAAACCTGGTATCAAGGGTCATCTCCCTATGGCTGTGTGGCTATGTATGGGCAGTAGCTTTTCAAAGTTTCTTGCTATGGAGAGATGAATGTTATTACCATGGCTTCCATGGCAAAGGACCATCTTGTTGGTTATGATCTAGAAGATGAATGAGTTGGGAGAAGTAGGATCCCACAGGATAGACCGTCTCTGCCCTGATAGCTTCAAGCTCATTGCTGGCTTCTCTCCTGACCTCCCAAGTCAGTGCTGTTTTATTGCCTCAGCATAGAGGGTTGGCCAACTTCCAGGTCCCATGTGCACAGCTGCACAGTTGGCATTCAGGAAACACGCCAATTGGGGGGAAGAAAGGGCCGGTGCTTTGTAGGTGGTAGGTACTCTGAACTAATCAGGGTGCTGGGACAGTGGGTCCTTCCAGGGGCTTTTGCATGTGCCATGGTGTGGGCATCCTCCTATGCCTCTTTTTTCTCTGCCTGAGCTTCACAGAAATACCAGGAAGGGAGGGAGGGAGGGAAGAATGGAGGCCTCTTTCTGAACCTAATAGCACTTACTCAGTATCTTTCCCAAAGGAGACAGAATGGAGCCCTTAGAGCTTTTTTGCGTCAAGCAGTCTAGCTATTCTTCCATCTGCTGGGCTTGTTTATTTATAAGGCAAGATCTTTCTTTGTAGCCCAGGCTGGCCTCAGATTCCCAGTGATCCTCCTGCCTCACCCTCCTGAATGCTGGGATTGCAAGTGTATACCACCACGCCTGGCTGCTGAGCTTATTTTGTAGCTATTTTGTCACCAAACCACCTACTCTGGTACCACCCACTCTGGTACTGGAGTACTCTATGGCTTTTGCTACCCTCTGTCCCTCCCCCAGTTATCCTAGGATACTGTACCTCCTGATCACACAGGATTAGCCCTGCCACCCAGGGTGAGGAATGGTGAGGCCCCCTCTGTGTCAGAGAAACTTCATTAGTAAATGTGACTGTGATTATTCTTTTATAAACATTTGTGTTTATAGACCCAAATTGGGCATGAGACAGGGTTTTTCTATGTAGTCTAGGCAGAACTTGAACTTATTATATAGCCCATGCTGGCCTCAAATTTGTGGCAATCCTCCTGCCTTAGCCTCCTAAGTGTTGGGAATACAGGTGTGCACCACTACACCTAGGAGCCTATTCAATTTTTACAATTCTTCTGAAATATGTCTTGACATTGAGGAAGAAGAAACTGGTAAAAGCAGAGTAAAATGGAACCTCTTTTTTGGCTATCTTGCAGGACAGCATTAGCCTGCTGTTGGAGGCAGTGAGAACCAGAAATGAGGAGCTGGCACAGACGTGGAAGAAGTCTGAGCAGTGGGCCACCATTGAGCAGCTGTGCAGTAAGTGCCCCCCACCAAGAGCTGCAGCTGCAGCCCCTTATACTTGGATGGACTTCTGACCCTGGTGCATCCTGGGGAGCCAAGAATATGGGGAAAAGCATAGCTAGGCCCTCCCTGCCAGGCACATGTGCTGCTCACTGATATGGCATATGTACTGTCCAGGCCTCAGCACATAGGTATGCTCAGCTCTGTGAATTGAATATAGATGAATACACTAGATCTATGGATCCTCACTTCCCTGGGGACCCCTGTCTGAAAAGGTATCTATCTGTGTTTGCCAGCCCTACAAGATACTTGGTATTGGCCCCATACCAAGTGATATAAATGTTTAATGATATAAAAACTCAGTTCCCACAGCAGCAGGTGACAGGATCTGGGCCTCTCCCCTGCAGCAGCTTGTGCCTGAGAGCTCCTTGTGTTCATTAGTGCTCACTGTGCTGAAACATTTAGCATATCATTGTGGAATAGTAGAGTGCCGCCTACAACAGCATCACAAGACATGTAGCACTAGGAGTACTCCAAGAGGGCCAGGCAACAACTCTGTGTTGAAAGCTAGTATGTTTCCAGAAGAGTTAGTAAATGGGGAACACATCATTTTTCTGGGCTAGAAGAGGCAATATACTTCTTTTTTTCCTCTGTATTTTAGAGAAGGGTCTGCAGGGTGTTCAGGGTCTCACTACTAGATCGGACTCATAGTGATTCTCCTGTTTACAGCCTCCCAAGTGCTGGGGTTACAGGCAGGCACCACCACGCCCAGTCTCAGTTGACATCTCAGTGCCCTGAGGGTGGGGCTGACACAGCAGGAGATTGAACCCCAGCCCCTGCGCCTGCTTGCAGGCACTTTAATCCACTGAGCTATTTGGCCAGCCCTGTATCTTTAAAGTGTTGGTTTCCTTGCATTTTTAATGTTTTGAGATAAACATGTCCCTGTGTCACTTCCTAGAGTGTTCAAAATTACAGATTACATATGTACCACCATGCCCAGCTTTTTGGTTGTTCTTTTTTTGGGTGGTTGTTTTTTTTGGTATTTTGGTACCACAAATCAAACTCAGGACCTTGCACTTGCCAGGCAGGCACTTGTGCCACTGAGCTATATCCATCCCAGTCCAATTTTTGTTTTCATAGCAATCAGTAAGTTCAAAAATTCATTTAGAATCAGAGGACCTAGAAGAATGAAGACAATTTTTTTTTTTTTTTTTTTTGTGGCTTGCTCAGCCCACCCTGGAGGTGGGACTGGTACTGCCTGTGGTACCAGGGATCAAACTGCAATCCCGGTGCTTGCCTAAGTAGGTGCTTTAGACTGCTAAACTATCTCACTGGCCCAAGACAAACTTAAGAGACAGGACAGGAGCTGGAAACTTAGCACTCCTGAATTCAGAGCTGCAGGGCTTAGTGCTTGAGGCAGTCTGTGCTGTGTGAGGATGAGCAGCATGAGGGCAACAGAGCCAGGAGCAGGAACCTAGCAGAGGATAGGCTTCCCTGAGACGTGCTGCCATGGCTGGGGATCTCTGGGGACCCAGGGACCTGGAACTCTAGGCAGTGTCATTCACAGAGACCAGTTCAGGAGGGCTTATGGGCCTACTGACCAGGCCTAAAACTGCAGAGCGTGTATGTGTTCAGAAACAGAGCCTCTTGGGGACGGGGAGATGGCTCAGTAGAATAAGTGTTTGCCTGGCAAGCACAAGGGCCTGGGTTCAATCCTTGGTTCTGCAAAAAAAAAAAAAGAAACAGAGCCTCTTGCTGAGTATGGCATACATATTTTCAGGGATTTGGGTAGGAAAGATATTAAAATACATGTATTGATTTATTTGGTACAAGGTCTCACTCCGCAGCTCGCACTCAGAGTGATCCTCCCTGTCTCAGCCTCCCCAGCGCTGGGATTACAGGCGTGCGCCACCACACCCAGTTTCAGTGGGCAGCACAGCGCAGGGCCGGCGGGGCCTGCAGTACTGGGGATCTAACCCTCGTCCTTGCGCTTGCCAGGCAGGCACTTGGACCACTGAGCTATCTCTCCTGCCACATCAAAATACAGAAAAATACTTTCTTTTAAAATTAAAAATTTGGGGATCGGGGATATAGTTCTGCAGTATAAGTACCCGTGTGGCGAGTACAAGGTCCTGAGTTCAACCCCTAGTACCACAAAAAAAGAAAAGAAAACCTTAAAATTAAAAACTGGTAAACGAAGTAGATGTGGTCTTGCGTACCTGTAATCCCAGCACTCAGGAGACTGAGATAAGAGGATCCCTCTGAATTTCAGGCCAACCTGAGCTTCATAGTGAGTTCAGGGACTGCCTGAATGACATGGCAAGACTGTCATGGTGGAGGTAGGGGGTAAAATGGATTTTTAAAATGAAACATACTTATTCATTGAAGGAACTATTAGAAAGTTGGAAAGGCTCAGGAAAGGAGATGGTACTTGTAGTACATACATATGATAAAGGCCTCTTATCCAAAACACATTGACAATCCATAGACAAACAAATAGGTTTTTTGTTTTTGGCAGAACCAGGATTGAACTCAGGCGCTTGGGCTTGCCAGGCAAGCACTTACTTTACTGAGCTATCTCCCTAGTCCCTAAATAAGGCTTTAATTAAAAAAAACAGCCAAAGGATTTCTAGATGTGGTAGCACATTCCTGTAATCCCAGCACTTTGAAGCTGAAACAGGAGAATTATGAATTTGATGGAAGCTTGAGCTATGTCAGTTCAAGCCCAGCTAAATTGTATACATAGCAAGAAAGGATGAAACCCAACAGGTGGGCATGGTGGCATATGCCTACAATTCCAGCACTGTCTCTCAATAATAATAAAAAGCATGAATTCCCTGGTTTCAGTCCCCAGTACATCACACACTAAAAGAAAAAGGCAAGCCTTAGACTTTTTACAAAAGGGGATAGAGGAATGGTTGGTATCATGAGTCTTCAGGGCAATGCACATTAAGGCAATGCCAAGTGCTGCTGGATATGGCACAGCCAGGACCCGCAGCTACCAGATACCACAAGTTCTTTAAGACTTTGATATGCCTTATCCTATGACCCAGCGGTCCCACCGCTGGACTCTCAACTGGGAACAGTGAAGACATGGGCTGACAAAAAGCTTATTCAAAGGAGATAGCTCAGTAGAATAAGTGCTTGCCTGGCAAGCGCAAAGGTTTGAGTTCAACTCCCGTTCCACAAAAGAAAAAAAAAGGCTTATTCAAGAATGCTCTTGTTGGGCTGGTGAGATGGCTCAGTGGTCTAAAGTACCTACTTAGAACAAGCTTAGCAGAGCACAGGGACCGCAGTTCAATCCCCCAGCACCACATGCCAGCCAGCCCCGCCCCCTGCTGGGCTGAGCTGGCCACACACACACACAAATAAAATTATTAAAAAAAAAATATTATAAGAATGCTCTTGTTAACTTTATTCTCATAGCCTAAAAAACTGTTATTGTTATTGGGGAAACCACCCAGTGTCCCTCAGAGCAGTATCAGGACTCAGCCAGAAGAGTGCTTTAGCATCAGGGAGCCGCACATGCAGGGGAGGCACTTGCTGCTGGAGACTTCGTGGTTGATTTGGACAGCAGGTTTGGTGTGAGCAATGGGGATTATTGTGCTGTCCCTGCCCATGCCACAGTGCACTCAAGCGTTTTCTGCACAAGTGATGAGAACTTGCTTCTCTTCCCCTCCTACAGGCACTGTTGGTGTGCAGCTCCCAGGCCTCCATGAGTATGGCGCTGTCGGAGGCTCCACACATGCTGCCACTGCCACCATGTGGGCCTGTCAGCACTGCACCTTCATGAACCAGCCCGGCACAGGTCACTGCGAGATGTGCAGCCTTCCCAGGACCTAGAGCTCCGGCCCTCTGCTGAGTGGACTGGGCTAGCCCAGCCCTCTGAAGCCAGGAGTGTGATGTGTCCCCTGTGTGGCCGAAGCCAGCAGCCCTGCAGGGACAGGACCAGCTGCCCTGGTATCTTGGACCCACCAAAGCTTCTCAGCGCCAATCCTGGAGAGGTGGCTCTGGCAGGTGTGCTGGGCCTGAATATAGCCAGCCTCCCAACTGGAAATGCCAAGCTACCCTGCCCAGGAATATCCCACACGCCTTGCGCAGTGCACAACCCCACCATGGTGGAAGGACCAGGCACCTCCACATTATCACCTGGGGAGGGGGTGCAGGAGTGGTGGCTGCTGCTACCAGCTTTCCTTTCTCCTCTTTTCAGTGCTTTTTATTCTTCATCCCACTCTGTGTGTTTGGTTGGGAGCTCTTGGATACCTCTATTCTGTTGCTCTGGGGTAGAACCATGTCCTTCTCATGTGAGTGTCTGCCATCTGGTGGGAACACATGTGGCCAAGCCACACTTTCCTTGGCTTGACCTGCAAATTAGTGGGCTGCCTTCCCTTCTCTCACCTAGCAATCAGGTGGGATTTTAAAGTCTGCGTTGGTTGTTAATAATCAGTACTTTGTGCCCCAGAAGACTTATATTTATTGTTTTAAGGTAAAACTGCACAATAGAGGAGGGAGAGACACTACACTAGTGTCCTCCTCTTCCATTTTTTAGTGCAGCCCTTCTGGGTGTTCAGGGTGGTCAGTAGACAGGGGCACTGTCAGTTCGCCTCGCAAACCTCAGTGCCTGAGACTTTTCTACCAAGCCACACAGCTATGGCAGCTGGCGATGTCGGTAGCCGAGCAAGAGAGTGGTGCCCTTCACCCGGCAGGCAACCTCTACAGACAACTGGGATGAGTGAGCACTGGGGCTCTGGTCATTTCTCCCTAACACTGTTCCTCTCTCCATGGCGTCTTTATGCTGTGGCCATTGAAGTGGGCCCAGAAGAAGGAGCCTTATGAAATCTCTGAGGCTTAGAGGGTTGATACTATGTGAGATCCAGAAATCCAGAACAGGTTCCAGTGCTTATGAGTGTGCCATGTGGCTATGGTTTGGCCCTTTTCCCAGGCGAGCTATGAGCATCTTAATGCCTCTTTGCCTTAATGAGAGCCAAATCAGCTGTGCTGGCCCTGGGAAAGGCCAGCCCGGTGGTGGGCAGTTGGAGAACTGTCACCTTTGTAGCAAGCTCAGGAAGCACCCCCAGTCTTTGGTCCTGTGGACAGAGAAACCTGGCTTGCTTACTGTACCGTGGCAGGGGTATGGCTGATACCCTAAGCTACTTGACATGGATCTCGTGAAGGCCGATATTTCAGTTGCTTCTGAGGCTATGGGCCTATTATGTCAGGCCACGGCTCTTGCGGAGGCAGGTGGGTTAGAGGAGGTAGAAACTAGCCAGGTGAGTAGCCTGTCTGCCAGCGTGCTATGGAGATTATGCCAAGGCTGTCTGGCCTGTCTCCTGGCAGCTGCCTTGGCTGGGGTTTTGTCCTCTTCTGTCTTGTCTGGGCCCTAAGATCAGCTGTAAGAGGATGCTGTGTTGATTGTTCATCTGTTTCCAAGGCTATTCATTCCAGCACAGCTGCCCACTCTGGGCAGGCACTGGACAGTGCAGACTTCCAGAGTCTTTGCTGCCACTGCTACCATTGTCTCCTTTCCCACTCTTCTCTTTATCCACCAAGCTCATTTCCTTTCCTCCTCAACCAGTATTTTCTTGCTCTGAAGTTCTGGCATCCACATAGTTCATAGTTCATGTTTTCTTTTGTCTTTTAGCTAAAGAAAAACTGTTGTGATTTCTCTGCTTATGGTTTTGAGTTACTCTTTGTTCAGTAATGCACTTTATTTTATTGTCCAAAGAGAGTCAATCTAATGCTACCAGCTGGGCTGAGCCCCACCAAGGGTTAGGCCTAACTGGTCATATCTTACACGAAAGTGGCTCCAGTCCCACCTCACATCCCCTGTGGACACCCCCGCTCATGTCAGCAGGTACCCCAGCCCAGAGAGGAGTGCCTGAGTGCACATCTGTCCAAGTGAACACAGCAGCTGCTGAGGTCCTATCCTGGCCCATAGGTGGAGTCTGGCCCTGCCCACCCAGCCCACCTCCAACAGTCTGTTCCTGGGACATAGGTGCTCCGCTTCAGCTCTGCTTTGGGCTCACAGGTGTGTGTTGGCTGGATTTGGACTAGCATTACCTTGACCCCAGCCTTGCAGTGGAACCTAATAAAAAGCGCCTGAAGCGACTGCCCTATGCCCAGTGTGTCATTCCTGTTAACTAAACTGATCTCCACAGGTCATGTCTGACATCTGCTTCCTGTGGGGCAGTTTGGTAACTTCATGCACCAAAATGTCTTTCTCTTCTGGTGATGTGCTTTCACCATGTCAGCATGTTCCCCACTCCACTGAGTCTGCCCACAATCCTAGTACTGTACTTCCAGGTTTGCACCTGAGTGGAAGGGAGAGTGGCCTGGCCTCCCTGAGATGTCTCTTCTGCCCCTTCCCAGTCTGACAGGCTGCCTTGGGTCTCTGCATCTTGCTCAGGTGCACACAGCCAGGCAGCAAGTGAAAGATAAAAGCCCAGGAAGCCCCAGATGGCACAAGTCCCACAGAACTGACTGCCTTCCCTGTAGATAGCCATTGGTTTCTCTAGGCCCTCCCTTTGATCTTGGTGCCATCCTTACACTCTGACCAGCCGATCCACTGCTCCCTGGAACAGCACTAAAAACCACCAGCTTGAATCTGAAAAAGCCCCTACAGGGAAACAAGGCAATGGCCAGCAACAAAAATGGGCCTGGGCTTTGCAGCAATGGGTTCTCAAGGGTCTCCTATGTGTGTCTTGCACATGGAATATGGACAGGGCATGGCTATCTGTCAGCAGCTGTGTGTGCTGGTGACTGACTTACTCCCCAGAGCTCAAGTTGTGTTTGCAGATGACCCACCAGTGAGCCCCATCATTACTCAGGGCCTGTGAAGAAAACTGTAAGAGGGACTGGAACTCTGTGGTACTTTGCTTGTCCTGGCTGCTACGGATGATGATGTTCTAAAACATACATTCTTTCAAGAAGACATTCACATCATGATTGGAACTAGAACTGGGGTCCACTATAGACACTTCCTCCCCTGCATGCTTCTCTGCCGGGCTTTTACATCCTTGGTGTAAACCTGTAGCTCTCAACACTCCATGGTTTCCCTCCAGCCGGACCTGTAATTGTTCAGTTCCTTAGCGGGATAGTAGAGCCTCATGACTTGGCATAGGCACAGCTACCTACCTGCTAGCAGTGTGTATTTCCCACTCCTATGATAGGTGATTTCCTCACAGCACAGCCCAGGCTGGGGACAGCCTTGAGCCCATTTTGAGTCTAATTCACCCCAAGTGTCCAGTGCTCATCCCTTTTTTGCTTAAGATGTTCATGATCATTAAATTGGGGGCTGGGGAGATGGCTCAGTAGAATAACAAGGGCCTGAGTTCAATCCTCGGTTCTGCAAAAAAAAATAAATCCTCAAATCATAGTAAAGGGCTAAGTGGGGACCTGAGCTGAAGTAGGGTAGAAGAATCACCTACAGCAAGGTCTGCCCTGCTCAGGCAGCCTTTCTACCTCTACTTTCCCACCTGGCCCTTTCTGTGGGATGGCTTTCCACCATATTGGAGGATGTCCTGGGTGGACTGTGCACAGGTGGGAGAATCTGGTTGAAATTGGTACCCAAAATGACTCAACTGTAGATGCACGTGGGGTAGAAATTCAGAGTGGCATGCCGAGGAGGAGGCGGCTTCATCCCCGCTGCTGCTGCTGCTGCTGCTCCTGCTCCTGCTCCTGCAACTAAAATGCTTTGAAAGCAACTCAGCAGGGAAGAGCGAGCCAAAGGAGCACACTGGTATTACTCGTGTCAGCACCAGCTTTGAAACAATAGTTGCTGGCTCACTCAAACCTCAACATGGTGTTAGGACCCTTGCAGTTAGTTGCTTTGGTGGGTACACAAGGACTGGGCCATGCATGTCCAAACTCGGGGGAAAGGGACCAGGGAGATGGCTCAGTGGAGTAGGCACTTCCCTGGCAAGCGCAAGGGCCTGAGTTCAATCCCCGGTTCTGGAAAAAAAAAAAAAAAAACCTCTGGGGAAATTAAGGGAGCTGACCCCTCACACTTGGCCATGTCTCAGATGCCTCCTTTACTCCTGGGTATCTGGCCTCCGAACTTTTCAGGTGCATGTTTTCCCCTTTTTAAGGAGTTTTAATGGGCACAGTGGTGCACACCTGTAATCTGAGCTACATGGAAGGCTGAAATGAGAAGAATGCATGTTTGAGGCCAGCCTGGGGAGTTTAAAATGTCATGGGTAGAGTTTTTGCCTAGCATGTATGAAGTTCTGGGTTTGACCCCAGTCCCACCACCACCACCCAAAGAAAATAGGATGGTGGATCTTGCTTTGTTGTCCCAGCTGTCGCTGAAAGTGGGTTCAAGTTTACCTGCTGCCTTTGGGGCAGGGGCCCTCAGCTTCAGATGGAGTTTCAGAGCGATCCTGGGTCTTAAATCCAAAAAGGTGGGAGGTCTTTCACTTAGGTAGCATCTTGGCTTTTTAGCGGGTGAGCCCAGGCTCTTGCAGAGCGACGAAAACGAGCGTGAAAACTAGACTCCACCCTGGTCTGGCCCGCCTACGCTACGGCTCACCAGGCCTGCCAGCCGACTGGCCCCGCCTCCGCAGCGCCGCTTTACGGCGGAGGCCGCGCCTTGCCGTGGGCAGCCGTAAAGTGCTGGAGGCGGTGCCGCCCCCGCTGGGTTTCCCCCGCACAATGGCTGGCACTGAGCCCCGCGTCCACTATCTGGCGGGCTTCTCCTGTCCGCTCGGGGGCCTGGCAGCGGGCAAGCCTCGCGTGCTATGCCACGAGCAGGAGGTTTTCCTGTCCACGGGGAGCGAGTTCGTCTACGTGTATGACCAGGAGGGCGGGCTGCTGACCGTGAGCACCGGGCCCTGGGCGGCGGGCGGCGGGTGGCGGGCGGCGCAAACCACAGTGAGACCCCGGACCTCGCAAGCCACCGACTTGAACCCGCTCTCCTGGCGTCCAGGCGGTGTATCGGTTCCCCGACCAAGTGTGGCACCTGCAGCTCCTGGCCCTTCGCAGGGCACTCTACGTTCTGTGCGCACGGAAGGGCATCTACTGCCTGTCATTGGAGTCCCCGACAAGGTGAGAGACGAGGGTGGCTCGCGTGTCCCCTGCCCACTCGAGATGCCCTGTACTCCGTAAGGCCAGCGTGGCCTACACGGCGTCGACTTCCTCGCGTAATCCCCGAGGTGTGCACGTGGTTTGCCCCTGGATGGGTTCCGAGTTACGCCCTGCATCACAGCACTAGGAATGGAAGGGTGTACTCCCCTGCACGATGTACCAGGTGTTCTTCAAGAGCCTCCTGCCGGCAGGGAGTTTTTCTCAAGTGGGGCTTGGCTGGTCGTATCTGAACTAAGGGAGCAGATGTGTTCATGGCCTGATGGTTCATGGCCAGGTTCCCTCTGGCTGGCAAGCCTCTTGGAATTGGGTCTCCTGCAGAGGAGCTGCCTTGGTAATATAAGCTGTGTCCATTGCTGCTGGATGTAGAGGCGGTGTGTGCAGCTTAAACGCGAAGCCCACGGTGTAGTCCAGGCCTGCAGTATGCCTTTAAGAGGAAGCCTGTACCTGAACCCCTGTATTGTGTCCTGAGCAGCGCACAAGGCTGGTGAGAGTCTGTATGGGCAGATGGTCTGCCAAGAAGCTGACAGTCAGTCTTTGTTTTTTGCGGGGGAGGGGGAGTATAAGAAATAGAGCTCAGGACCTCATGCTTGCCAGGGAGGTGCTGCACCAGTGAGCTAAATCCCTGGCATTTAGGCTGACAGTCTTGTGGAGCCCTCCAGAGCACTCCCTGTCGGGTCCCCTGTGCAGCTTGCTCTGAGGTGGGTTGTTGTGAACCAGGGTGCAGTCTGCCTCACCTAGTCCTGACTTTGGTTCCATTGTTCCAGAAGGTCTTCGAGCCAAACAGATGAGGATAAGGACAGTGAAGTCTCTTCCCCAGTGATCACTGTGGACCCTGAGGCCTGTGTCCTCCCAGATACCACACTCTGTGCATTCACTGTACATGATGATGTCCTTGTGGCCCTGGTGCAGGGCCCTGCACAGTGGAAAATGCAACTGTTTGAGCGTCCTTGTCCAGGGGAGGACCGCTGGCCAGGAGGCCTGGTTGGTGAGGTGGAATTATCCACCTCCACCCCACCAGCTGGGGCTCCAGGAAAGCTGACATCCCCCTGCTTCCTGCCAGTGCTGTGCTGTGTGTCACCACCAGGCTCCAGGGTGCCGCGTGGCCATCCCCAGGGCTGTGGGGGCTTCATGTTGGAGGAGGCTCTCTTTGGGCTACTCTTTGGAGCAGATGCCACCCTCTTGGAGTCACCTGTGATCCTCTGTGGTCTGCCTGATGGGCAGCTCTGCTGTGTGGTGTTGAAGGCTTTGGTCACCTCTAGGTCAGCCCCTGGTGACCCAAAGGCCCTTGTCAAGATCCTTCATCATCTGGAGGAGCCTGTTGTCTTCATTGGGGCCTTGAAGACAGAGCCACAGGCTGAGGAGGCTGTGGAGAGTGTGCTGCCCTGTGAGGATGTGTACTCAGATTGTTTGGTGGCCCTTGGTCACCATGGCCGGACATTGGCCATCAAGGCCAGCTGGGACAAGTCAGGGAATCTGGTACCAGAGCTTCGAGAATACTGCCTCCCAGGACCTGTCCTCTGTGCTGCCTGCGGTGGGGGTAGCCGCATGTACCACAGCACCCCTTCAGATCTCTGCGTGGTAGATCTGGCTCTAGGAGGTGTCCCTTTGAACTCGGAGCAGCCACAGTCTGATGGAGCCCCTGGATGCCTGCCCCCCTTGCTATGCCCAGCCAGCTTGAGCATCTGTAGTGTCCTTACTCTTTCTGTGTTATCTAGGACACCTGCAGGTATGTCTGCTGATTTCTTCTGATTTCTAAACAAAAATGTGTAGGTTTGTCCTCACTGGGTACAGCCTAGTTTTTACTCACTCTTGTCTTGGGATCAAGGAACAATAGTGTGTTTACCTGGCCTTGGGCTCAGGATCAGGATGGCCCTGTACCTTGGTGGACTCTGGCCCCTTACTTGGGTGGCAGCTGAGCATGTTGCCTCTGATGACCAGCACAAGTGTCTGCTTCAGCTTAATCTCACGTCAGTTCTGAGGACTGAGATGTGCCTGCTTCAGCCACTGTATGGCTGCTATGAACCACTCTGGATCAAAGGAAGATGGTATCATGGCATTCTCAAACCAGAGAGGGTTTAAGAAAACAGACCCAGTATGTTTTCCCATTAGGAAGGTTTGCCATGGAAGATACTGTGCAAGAAATGGTTTAAAGGGAGACTCTTAGGTAGATGGGAGGTAGGGTATGTGGACATGACCAGAGATAGAAGTGGCTGTGAGATTGGCCTGAGCTGCTTAGCCACCCATTTACCTAGGTGCTGCCACAGTGGCTGGGGACAGGCAGACTCACAGCAGCATTAGCCTTTGTGTTTGGGTCCTCCCTGGTAGTCCAGCAGCACAGAAGAGAGGAGACAGATGCATCATACAGTCATGCTTCGAGAGGCTCCCTAGTGGGGACACAGAGTGGGAGGGTAGGCAGGGACTGGGACCCTGGGGGCACTTTTCTTTGGGAGAGCTCATATAGTCTTGTTCAGTGTGACCTTGTGAAGGTCAGGCCATGCTAACGTATTATGGCATCTTCATTTGGCTCCCTTTTAGCCTGTCCTGTCCATGGGGCCTAAACGCTACCCTGGTGCAACTGCTGCTGTACGGAAGTCCCATCTCAGGAAGGGACCAGTGGGGGAGCATCTCTGTCCAGTTCCCAGGGCATGTCCTGGGTCTGCCTGGGGACCTTTTTTTCCCTTGAACATTTCCGTGGGCCTCTGTTAGTCCTAGAGCCTGGGGCAGACTCTGCTGAATGTCACAGCAGCTTCTCCCTTACCTGCTCACCTTGATGTCCATCAGGTGGCACTGAGCTCCTGGCCCTGTCTACCAAAGGCTGCTTGATGACCTGCCGGGTAGACCTGAACTCCGAGATGCCTGGTCCCACCAGAATGACTACAGAAAATGCAGGCCAGAAAATCAAGGAGCTACTCTCTGGCATCGGTGATGTCTCTGAGAGGTGAGTGGTGGGCTCCAGCTCTGTGCTGTATCTTGGGTGGTAGTATCCTTGGTAGCTATAGCCCAGTGGCCATTATTCTGCCTCTGGCCCCATCAAATGTCCATAAGCCTGCCTCAGAGGCCTCTAGAAGACAAGAAATCCCCCTTCTCAGACAGCATGCCCAACTTTTTCCCCTGGTCAGGACACAGGAGATACCCTTGCCAGTTCCTTAACACCACCCCAGGCTTTTTCCTCAGAGGTCTCTGCATCTTCCACTTGGGTCTCCTCCCTTCCCTGGGTGCCACATCTGCTCTTTGCAGAGTATCCTTTTTGAAGAAAGCTGTTGACCAGCGGAACAAGGCCCTGACAAGCCTCAACGAGGCCATGAACGTGAGCTGCGCCCTACTGTCTAGCCGGGAGGGTCCCCCACCCATCTCATGCACCACCACCACTGCCTGGAGCCGCCTGCAGCTGCAGGATGTGCTGATGGCCACCTGCCTGCTGGAGAACAACAGTGACTTCAGCCTGGACCAGGGCTGGACCTTGTGTATCCAGGTTCTCACCAGCTCTTCTGCGCTGGACTTGGACTCTGCTGGCTCAGCTGTCACTTACACCATCCCTGTGGACAGGCTCAGTCCAGGCAGTCAGCGTGAAGTAACGCTGCCTCTGGGCCCTAGTGAAAGTGGCGTGCTCGACTTGCCTGTGACCATGTCCTACACACTGTTCTATAGCCTCAAGGAGGTGGTGGGTGGAGCCCTGGCCCCCTCAGATCCTCTAGAAGACCCCTTTCTGGAGGAACAGCCTCTTGATCTCCTTCCAGAGCAGGAGGGCATCTGCCTGCCCCTGAGCAGGCACACAGTGGACATGCTGCAGTGTCTGCGTTTCCCCAGCCTGGCCCCACCCCGTGCATCTGTACCCTGCCCTCTTGGCCCTGCTGCTGATCTGGTGGACACCTTCCTGGAAACATGCCGAGCTCCAGGCAGTGAGCTGGCAGGCCCCGCGGCCCTGCGGGCTAAGTACCTCCCCCCATCCACAGCCTCCATCAGAGTGTCGGCAGAGCTGCTCAGGGCTGCCCTGGAGGACAGTCACTCAGGTTGGTGGCACCAAGTGGCTTCGCTCTGGCTTCAGCCACAAGGCCTGTGGACACAGGTCGTTTCTCCCTCTCCCAGTGGTTCCTGGGGCAGCTGTGGGCCCACAGCCCTCCGAGCTCTGCTGCGTCCTGGTCGCTGTTGGAGTCTTGTCTTGCGTTGTCCTGCCACCACGTTTTTCTTTTAAGTTGTGTTTTTTAAAAACCGTGGAAGCATGACCTAAATGCAGAAGCAGACGTATCACCAGGGAACAGCCTGGTGAGTTTTACAGGGCTTGCACCTGGGGAGCACCCCCAAGGGCCACCATGCCGTCCGGATCATCTCCGAGCTCCATGCCTGCTGTGTCTGGTTCCTGCTCCTGCTGTGTGTGTGAGGCCCTTTGTGTTGTGTGATATGGGGGGTCTTGTGCCAGGGTGATGTTCTTTTGTCACTGTCACTATTTGCTGTCAGTGGATGTTGGACAGTTTCTGGGTTTGTGCACAGGGCTGTGACCACGGCCACCCCCATAGAGCGCCCCTGAGTATTCCTGCCATAGTGGAACTACCTCTCAGGACTGGCCACCTGCATGCTGGTGGGGCCTTCCGAGAGTGATCAGGTGCAATTCTTCCCTGCTACCCCATTGGGAACTCCTTCTCCTCCTCTTGGCTAGCCTGCCCAGCTCCGTTTGGGGTGGAGAAGGCAGCTGGGGCCTATAGGTGAAACGGGAACATATCAGGGTGGCTACCCCATGATGTTTAGTAGGACCAGCCCAACCTCCTGTCCCCCCTTTCTCTAACAGGTGTTCCCCTGTGCAGTGCCACCCTGCAGTGGCTCCTCGCAGAGAATGCTGCTGTGGAGATCGTGAGGGCTCAAACACTATCTTCTGTTCAGGGCGTGGCCCCAGATGGCACTGACATCCACCTCATCATCAATGAGGCAAGCTGACCTACCCATGGGAAAGCTGGCCTCCCCACCAGCTATTCTGAGGCTATCCCTGGACCAGTGGTGCTAGGCAGCTCTGACAGAATCTCACCAGGGCTGACCCCATAGCTCAGGTCCCTATGAGGTTGGGCTCTGTCTCTCCCCAAGCAGGGGCCTCTTCGCTGTGCATTCCTGCCATGCTTCTGGGCAGCTTCCTGTGCCCTAGGAGCAGCCAATGCACTTGTCACTCTAGGTAGCTAAAGTGGGTCTGCCAGTTCTTAGCATGTCCCTCTCACACACCATTCTTGAGACAGACTCTCATATCCCACTGTCAAGAGACTTACACAACAGTCCAGGTTACCAGGACTTCACTACCAGGACCCTGTGTTCACCTAAGGATGGTGAACGCAGGGTCCACTTGGAGTTGAGCCACATCACTCGTGCATCTTGACCCTGCTGCCCACTATACAGTCCTTCAGCCAGACTGAGGCTGGGCCACCATGGTGGGAGGCATCCCTGGGTCATAAGGTTGAGTTGGGGTTTTTTTTGTTGTTGGGTTTTTTTTTTTTTTGGCAGAAGCGGGGATTAAACTCAGGCCCTTGTGCTTGCCAGGGAAGCGCTTATTCCACTGAGCCATCTCTCCAGCCTCCCGAAGGATTTTTTTTTTTTTTTGGCTGGCTCAGAATGCCTTCAGGGCAGGTTTGAGTCCTGGGGATCAAACCACAGCAACCTGAGCCTGACTGCTTTATTTGTTGAAGCAGCCACTTAAAGAACTGAGGTAAGGGGCAGGCCCCCATGAGGTTGAGTTTGGTGAGGACTCTGGGTTGGTAGAGGTGCTTTTTCCTGACCCATAGGGAAGTTGTGTGTGGAGAGCAGGCCAAGGTTTCCTGGCTTATGGCCTGTTAACAGGCACAGTGCAGAGTTCTTGGAGGCTGGCCCTCTTCATAGGTCCACAACTGAGTTCACTAAACAGCCTGACCCTGCTGCTAGGTGGGCATGGCATGCAGGGTGGGGTGGGGTGGCCTTTGAGAAGAATCCCTGGCCCTGTGTCTTGAGTGTCTGCCTTTCTATCTGTGTCTGGACAGCAGATTTCTTGCAATGGGTTCTTGGCAAGTTGTCCAGGCCAGTACCCTTTGCCCCAGGCTCTGCCTATAACATGTTGAAGGACATCCCAGGCCAGGATCTGGAGCTCCCTTGAGAGAGGGGGCAAGGACTGCCAGCAAGGACTTGTGTGTGTTGCAGGTGGCTGTGACTGACCTATGCCTGGCCGGGCCCATCCAGGCTGTAGAGATCCAGGTGGAGAGCTCCTCTCTGGCTGACATGTGCAGGGTACACCATGCCATCATTGGGCGCATGCAGGTACAGCAGCTGTTGGGACTCAGGTGGGAAAGAGGCTGTGAAGGTTATGGTCTTCTTTGAGAACCACACAGTTGTAGGCAGAATGGCCTGCGAGGTCACAGGAGGAGGCACTGTGTGGACAACTTTCAGGTGTTGGGGAGCTCTGTCCAACAGCCACCGCACAGCCCCAGCCTCTGCAGGGGTCCACAAGTTCCACTCCTAACCAGTCTGGCATTAGGCTGTCTGCTCCAGCTCCAATCAGCCTTACCTGGCCTTATCACCCTACCCTTGCTATTCTAAGCTGGCAGCTGCCGGCCCCACAGTGTCCCAAGACAGAGGCCATGTCCAGGCCAGGCAGGTGCTTAGTTCCCATCAGAGCTCAGGTTAGTCATGGTTCTGGACGATGCCATGCCATGAACCTACCTGATCCTGAAGCTCATCCTGTGAAGCACTCCTAGCACACTCTTTATTTCATTCCTAGACACAGGAGTCCGGGCCTTACATTATGAGCTGACAGGATGGTGTCCAGGGCATTAGTGCCACATGGCAGAGATAATTTCATGCTCAGGGCCAGCCAGACCCCAAGAAAGTTCTGTCACCTATGGCCAGATCTTTCTTGTAGGGAAAACCGTATTGGGGTCGACCCACCCGACTGACTTCATCTTAACCATCTACAAAGCATCTCTTTCCAAATAAAATTGGGTTTGGGGATACTGAGGTTAGGACTCCCATATGTGATGTGGGTCTGACAGTCCCATGCTGCAGCTGCTCCATGTTTGAGAATCAGCATGACTGGTGACATCAGCATATACTGTGTGTCAGCACAGTTCAGACAGGCTGCTTCTGCCATGAGCCAAGACTTCTTCCTGGGGTTCCAGGCAGGCAGGTGGTCCTTGGGAGGCAGCCTTATTCCAGAAGACCTTATCCCTGGTAAGCTGACAAGGGCCTGCAGGAAAAGGGAGCAGGCAGCCAGCCCCATGCAGGCTGCTGTGTGGACAGGCAGGTGGGCTGGATGGGCCCTTCAGCTTGTCTGAGCTGAGAACACAGCAGGCAGCGGGGAGGGTTGGATGTGAACAGGGGAAGGGCTGGAATTAGTAGAAGGGTTAGTTACAAGTAACTGTCAGTGGGGCCCCTGGGCAGGACCCAGTGACAGATGCCAGAGGTATGTGACCAGTCACTGGTCAGGAAGACAGATGGAGGACTGGGAACAGATGGAGGAGAGGCCACCTGCTCTGTACACTGAGGGCAGGGCCTCCAGACAAAGGCTCGCACCTCGGTGCAGTGGGAAGTGCCCTCTAGCACCCCTATGAATCCTTGTGTCTCCCAGACAATGGTCATGGAGCAGGCTGCCCGGGGCTCCAACCCACCCGACCTCCGAGTGCAATATCTCCGTCAGATCCATGCCAACCATGAGGTGAGTGTCCCCATTTGGGCACTGGATGGACACCTAGCCAGCCAAAGCTGGCTCAGCTTTGAGTGGCGTGGCTGCTGGGTAGGAGCAGAGTGGGTGACGTCACAGCTAGTTCCTGTCTCTTGCCTTGTTCCTTTAGCCATACACACCTGGCTGCATGTCCCATGTATAAGGTCACAGCCCAGTGTTCTTCCTTGAGCCTCCCAAGCATGGGTTATACCCAGAGAGATTCAGGGTCTGCACTGTCACCTACAGGCCCTGCTGCGTGAGGTACAGAGCCTGCGTGACCGGCTGTGCACCGAGGATGAAGCTGGCTCCTGCGCCACGGCCCAGCGGCTCCTCCAGGTGTACAAGCAGCTGCGCAGCCCCAGCCTCGTCCTGCTGTGAGCAGGTGTGTCCTGGCCTCCCTCAGTGCACATTGGTAACCCAGAGCCCTTGTGGTTTTATAGAGAAAGACGCAGAAACAAGAGGCTATTGTCTTGGCCCCTTCCTCAGGAGAAACCTGGTCACATGGAACCACAGAAGGCACAGGGAGGGGTAGAGGAGATGGGCCTCAGATGTGTCTAGGCCACATCTGGGCCCAGGGGCTCAGTACCCCTCACTCATCTTTTCCTCCGCACAGCTGCTGGACCATTCCTCATCACGGTGGGATGCTCCTCCCATGAAGCCCCAGGGCTTATGTGCAGCATCCCCTCCACTGGATGTTCCAGACCTCATTCAGAACCACTGCTGGCCCAGTGAGCAGGCCGTGGAGAAACAGGATTTCTAGGATCAGGACTTGGGGTTTGTAATTGTATTGTCCCTGCTGTACCCCAGGAGCACCAGCAGTCCCTCGGGCTGCCAGGTGGGAAGGTGCTCCCTGCAACCAAAGCACAAAGCCCTGCCAGCACCAGTAGTGCTTCCTGCTGTGCTGAGGAAGGACTGTGGTGTCCTGTGACTAGAACCTCAGCAGCAAGGTGCCTGCCACCAGGGCTGTGCCCAGCACTGTGCTCTTTTCAGGGTCATCCGGGGGTGGGTCCTGTGGCCCCCACAGCTCAATGGCCCAGCTGCAGCCTGCCCCTTAGCCTGGTGCTGTTTTTACTACTGGGGATGACCGTGTCCCACACCCTGTGGCACTCCTGCTGTGAGCCGTCTGTAACAAGTATATGTGGGTGCTGCAAGGTGCTTTACTGACAAGCAACCCTTTTCATTGAGCTCTATGACTTGGCTGGTTTTTACCCCCTTTCTACTCTTAGGCAAGTGTAGAAACCTCCCAGGTTTCACAGGACTCCTAATAGAGCTCCTGTAATGTGGGTGGAGCCCTACCAGCTCTTTCATGGCCAGGGAAAAGAAGAAGCATCATGAGATGCTCTAAACAAGGAGTCACCCTGGTAGCACTCAGCTACTCTGGGCTGCTCACTGTGTCGCGCCAGGGGTCTGGGAAAATAGCCTCATCTGCTTCACCGTACAGGCCCTGTCCACACCCGTCTGAGGGCCACTTCTGTCCTCCCAAGGGGAAGCCTCTGGCTCCAGCCATTGCCCACATCTTGCTCTAAGCACCTACAAGCAAGGGAGGGACTAGGACAGCACACTGGGCAAGCAGAGCTGGCGTCTGCCTACTTGGAGAAAGGTGCCCTACCCTAGGCTGCCGGCTGCTGCACTTTCCTGTGCCCCCGCTGGCTATCAAATACTGCAGAGCCGGGGAGATAAATCTTAGCGTACAAGTGCCTGCCTGGCAAGCAGAGTTTGATCTCCGGTGTCAGACACATACAAAAAAACCTGTTTTTTTTTTTAAAAAAAAAAAAAAGAAAAGACCATGAGGCTGTGAGGATCCCAAAGCTAACTGACCTGGGCTGCCTGCAGGGCTCAACTCCCAGATCCTGGCAGGTGTTAAGAGTCAGTGTAGATATCCCAGCAGTCCACGATGCCTGCCAGCTTCTCCAGGAACGAGATCCCACCACCACTGTGGCAATAACGACTCCAGGGCCGAGGTGACCACCTGGCTATACACACCAGTCCTCAGAAGGTTGCTTTTTAGTAAGCAAGAATAGTGAAACAGAGACTCATGGTTCCAACCCACTCCACCTCCTTGCCAGGCACCTTTCCAGCTCCTTCCTGTGCCTGTCTTAGCTAACACTAGGGGGCGCTGAGGACCATGGGACAACCAGGATTCCTGTGCCTCCAAGGTTAACTGCACCCTGTTGGGCACTTGCCCCTTGGGGTCACCCTGCCCGGGGAACTCGGGCAGGACTTTCCTTCTCCCTAAGTAGAGGAAGAGGTGGAAGTCCCCATTACCCAACTCCAACCCAGGTTCTATATCCCCTTCCTGCTTATTCAGCCAACTCTGTTAACCAAGCTCTTAGCTTCGCTGGATGTCTCCTATCTTGGGCAGTGGACTTCCAGGAGGGGACTTCCATACCCAGGCTTAGAAGGGGCTGCCCATGGTAGGGCTGGGAGCTCCTATTTCAGAAAGGAGCTCTAGGGTGGGGAAGGGACTTTTTCCTCCTGGTCCTCTAAGACAGGTCCCAGGACTGAGCTTTGCAGGGGTTCCCCTCACCCTCCAGCAGTGCCCAGAGCTTCAGTAGTCTGTGCCTTAAACAATTTAATGTGGAGCTAGTAGGCCCAGAAACCCACTATTGTCCTTGGTACTGATCCTCAGTACTCCCAGAGCGCCACCCCGGCAGGCACGTCGGCGTCGGCACGCAGCAGTCCTGAAGCCCCGCCGCGCAGGTACTTGCCGCTTCGGGCTCGGATCGCCAGGCGGCCACGTTCTCGAAACTCAAAGAGGAAATCCTCGGCGCGCTCACCGTCACTGCATACGGTTCCATGACTGCCTGTGTACCAGAACCCACCGCCACGGCCTGGTGGGGAGCTGGGGGTCGGCGGGGGCCACCACACCCACCGCACCTGCACCCCCACCCCCTTACGCAGGGTCCACATGCCCCACATTCATTCCCCGCACACCTCGAATGTGATAGGCACCATCACTGAAGCTCAGGTGGAAGACATCGTACACTGAGCGGTTGGTGTCCAGCTGGTTGGAGCCGCGCCGGTGGCAGACAAAGCCATCCAGACCACGCAGCACCAGAATGGGCCGGTTGATGAGCTTAAGGACAAACTCTTCATCCTCACCTGTAGGAGAAGGCACTGTGGGGACCCCAGCTGCCACCATCTCTGCCCAGGTGGTCAAGTGGGGTCCCCGAGGTGAACCCCAGCCTTGAAGGCCCAATTGTTTATTTTCTGGTGTGTGACCTTCGTGAAGGGCCTTATACCATGAACATGGGGATCTCCAGGCATACAAGGAATTGAAGAGGATCCCATGGTTCCCAGGAGTACAGTGGAGGAAAGGATAGATGTCCTGGGACCCATCTACATGCTCCCCTGATGGACTGTAGTTGGCAAGTGTGACCATTGTCACAGTGACAGTGCTTACCCACAAAATCACTGATGGCTGCCAGCTGCCCGTTCTTCTTCATGCACACATAGCGCCCATTGCTGGCTTTCAGTGCCACTCGCCTGCCGCGCCATTCCACCTCAAACATGGTGTTGGCAGATCTATAGGGAACAGGGCAAGGTCCTTCAGAGCAGCAGGAGGTGGGGATGCAGGGTCTGGCTGGTGCATTCCCTGTAGGTTCCAGCAGCTGAGCCAGGAGCCTGCCCTCCACCAGCACCCACCACCTTTCAGAGCAGCCACTGGCTGAGCTGCAACAGTGGTCCTCAACAGTTGAGGTAGTGATGGTGACAGTAATGATATCAGAAGAGGTGGTGGTGGTGAGGATGATGGAGGTGATGGCAGAGGTGATAGTGATGGTGGGGGCGATGATAGAGGTAGAAGTGGTAGAGACTGAGGTATGATGCTAGTGATGAAGCAGTGGAGGAGGTGATAGAGATGGGTGGGGAGATGATGGAGGTAGTGATAGTAATGAAGTAATAGAGGTGGTGGAGACAGGTGAATGTACTGGTGATGGCGCAAGAGATGATGGAGGTGATAGAGGTACTGGGGGATAGTGGAGGTAGTGATAGAAGTGGTGGTAGAGGTGATGGAGGTGAGGCTGATGCTGGTGGTAGAAAAGATGAGGGAGGTGGTAGTAAAAGCAGTGGTGAAGATGGAGGTGAGTATGATGTTGATGATGCTGGAGGCAGGGACAGGCACACTCACACTTGTGTGGCTGTGGCCTGAATGCCCCCATGGGTGACCAGGGTCCAGTAGCCCCCAGTGCTGGAGTAGAAGGTACACTTCTTTGTCTCCTGGTCAATTTGCATCAGGAAGGTCTCGTGGTCCAGCTCCTCATCCTGATTGGCTGAGACATTGATGCCTGGAGGAAGGATATGGGGAAGCCCCTCGTATCTCTTCTGGGAGGAGAGGCATGCTTTGGGGGAAATCCCTGAAGTCAGAATGAATCTAATCCAAAAGTGGGTTTGATTTGGAAGGTACTTCCCAAAGGGTCTGGAAACTGCATCAGGACCAGGGGGCCCTGGCAGATCCCACACATGGCTCTTAAGGGACCCTTGACCTAGCTCTTCCCACACCCAAAGTCAGATGCTTCCGTGCCAGTGAATTCCCCACTTTGCTAATCAGCAGGTAATCTGCTTGCTTCTCCTGACCCAGGATTACCCCAGCCTCTATTTATAACTCCCGCCTAAGCTGCTGGTGGGCACAGTGGGTCTCCCATCTTTTTGCACAAGATAGCCCAGGGATCAGGCACCCACACCCACACATGCAGTTGGTCTCCCACAGAGCTGAGGGCAATAGGCAGGTCCTGGCCTCTGCAGGATCTTGCCTCCCACAGACATCCCTGTTTCCTTGGTAGCAGTATGACAGAGAGTATCTTAGTTGGTGCTGCCCCTAAAAGAGGTCATTGGCCTAGAGAACAGACCGGGATCTGCTCCCTTTTATCAGCACCCAAATGCCTGGCCTCCCTGGTGCTGGAATTACAGGGTTGTGCCACAATGCCTGACTCTTCAGTCTCCTTATTGTTTGAATCAGGTTTTTGCGGAACCAGGGATTGAATTCAGTGCTTGCCAGACAAGCGCTTATTCTACTGAGCTATCTCTCCCAGCCCTGTTTGAATCAGTTTGTAACCAGTCTTATTACTGGCAGCAACAAGTGCTGACTGCTGTGCTACGCATCAGCACTGCCATACCAGCAAAGGTAGGAGCAGGGCAGACCGTAGGTGACAGCCAGCAAAAGTAAGTTAACAGCCAGGAGTGGTAGCACATGCCTGTCATCCCAGAACTTGGGAGGCTGAGGCAGGAGGATTGTTGCAGGTTTGAGGCCAGCCTGAAGTACATTGCAAGACCCTGTCTCAAAAAAGTCCAAAAAAGAAAAAAAAATGTAACAGCTAACCTGAGTCTAGGCATAGACTGCTACAAGGCAAGAAGACGGGTAAGGGCTACCTGGCCGGAACTGACAGCAGAACACTGCAGAACCCAATTACACAGCTCAGCTCAGCTCCCTTAATCTAGGATGGCACCTCCCTCCCCCACTTCTGTTTCCCCCAAGACTGAAGTGCTGTAGTGGCCTTCTTCACATTGCTGTCAAAGTCTGAAACCCCAGGGGGCAGGGCCAGGCACCCTCAGCCATATTCAAGGAAGGTGAGGGCAGCCTCTGCTCCTCAGCAGAAGACTCCCCCCAACAAAGGGATGTGTCAGATATGAGGTGTTCAGAAGACTGAGAAACGGTCCATACAGCCCTTGTCCCTACACTCTCACTTTTTCCACCCCATCATCGGCACCACAACTACCACCACCACCCCTTGAGCATCACCACAGTCACCTCCATCGTCCCCACTGTGAGGTGCCACTACAACCCCATCACGGCTGTCTCTCCATTCCACTGCACTGTCATGTTCACTGACACCACTGCCATGACCATGACCATCACTGGCCACACTGGGAGTCTCACAGGCCGTCATTTACAAACACCAACAGTCACTCTTGCCTGCCCCAGGAAGCCACCACTGCCTCACTTAACTCAGAAGCACATAAACCTTGGTCCAGGCCAGAAAGTGGAGTGACCACACCATAGGGTATTGAGGGGAGGGAAGAGCTGTGACTTCGCCATCAACCCTACTGCCTGGCCATGTGCTCGGACAAGTGCTTGTGGGTGACTGATCTCTGTTGCTGAGCTACACTGACGGGAGGATACCCCGACTTGCAGGTGCAGGGCACAGGCATGAGTGGGCTCCATCGAGGTGCTCTTGCCTGGACTCTACCATCTGGACCAAGAAGTGGGTGCCCAGATCCTAAGTTGCGAAGGTACCCAGGAATAGGACATCTCATAGGGCAGCACAGGCTTTGGTGAACAAACGGGAACTGCCTTTTGCCTGGTGGCTGCTGGTCTGAGATGGGTGCATGTTCATTCTGAGAAATTCTGGGAGCCCAAGATGACTGTGACAGCTGGCCTGGTCCCCAGCAAAGGTAGAAACAGGGGTGCTAGAGCCAGCAAAAGTAAGTTAACAGCCAGTAATGGTGGCACATGCCTGTGATCCTAGAAGGGCCACCTTGAGACTCGTGTTGTCTCACTTGGAAGTAGGCTGCTGTGTTTGTCCTGGAGGTTATCAGAACTAGACAGTGGGGAGACCCAGGCTGCACCACAGGAAGACAGATGGCACTTTCTTTCAAGAAGCCCAGGGCCTGGAGGGGGCTACCTGCCCGTGTGTCAATCTCTGGGGCCACATGAAGCTTCCACAGTCAGACACGTGGAGGCGCCATCTCCTTGCCCTGCTCTGGCCGGGCCACTCCTTAGTGTCTATCAAAGTCCAGAAAGTCTGGTAGTGAAGAGAACGGCTACAGCTTCCTTGGGATCCTGCCTCATCCCAGTACCTGGCTGGGTATGCTCTTTGCCCACTTGTGGCACTGCCCAGCCCCAGCCCACACCTGTCCCACTTCCCAGTATCGGGGCTCAGCAGAAATACTCTCAGCTTTCCTGAGAGCCCAGGAACTGCTCTGACACTGAGGCCCAGCCCCTGCCTATGCTGTGTGCAGACACACACATCCCATGTAGACACGAGCCTACACACAGCCCAGTGGCCTGGACCTCTTACCTTGCCTCACAGAAACATAGCGGCGGTTGGCAGCCACCAGTACCACCTGTGGGTGACTCTCCTCCAGATCAAAAAGCTCATCCTTGCCAGGCCGTGTGTTGCGGCCGGCCTTGAGTGTGCCTGCAGGCCCCACAGGTGCCAGGTAGCGGCCATCGCAGTCCTTGAAGGCCAGCTTGCCCGCCTTGAACTCCAGTGTGTAACAGGCATGGGACTCGGGTTCCCTCACCAAGCGGCCATCGCTGCGCAGGTAGCGGCTGTCACAGGACCTGAGGCAATACCGTCGGCTTTGGAAGATGAGAGTGAGCAGTGCATCCACACCCCATGGCATGTCCCCATCTGCTGCCATCTCATCCTCCTGTGGGCACAGATGCACATAGCGTCGCCGGCTGACACTCAGCAGGTGGGCCTGTGGGTGGATGGCCAGGTGTACAGTCCACAGCTCTGCTGGGGAGATGGCTGTGGCAAAGCAAGATAACCGGTCCTCAGTGCCACCAAAGAAGCGGCCATGCGGCTCTGACTGCAGTACCCAGCGCCCGTCAGGTTGTGGCAGGACCAAGAAGCGGCAGTCAGGACCTGGCCGCTCTGCCTCACAGGCTACACTCCCGTCTGCCTCTGCTGACAGGTAGCGGCCCAGGTGGCTGCTGCGGAGCAGTACTGCTGTGCCCTGCCCAGGGTCAGGCTCCAGCACCCACATCTGCTTCCTCTTGAGGCTGGGAGCTGAGGCATTGACCTTGAAGCCAAAGCTCTCAGCTGTTAAGTAGCGGTCGGTGTCATTGACAAGGCCAAACTGGATCTTCAGTACCTGATGTAGGCCGTTGGTCGGCATCTTCAGAGCTGGCCAGGACCCTCAGTAGTCTGGGAAGCTCAATCGAGTGTTCACGGTCCCTGAGGCCCCCGGGCCCAGGCAGCGTCATGGATCCACCTCCTCTGCCAGCTCTGACCAGCAGCCTCGGTCACCCAGGCAGCTCTTACATGGCCAGTGGGCAGCAGAGGGCGGGTGGGAGGGCGGATAAGAGGCATGCGGCTTAGGAGCCACGGCTGCCTTTCATTACCCCCAGCTTGGATTTCAGCTGCTCCTGGAATGCACTGGCCGTGCCTGATGCCCTGCAGGATCACAGAGCAGTGCTGACCACCTTGGCTTCCCAGGGTGTCTGTGCGGGACGCAGGGCTTGGTCCTTACTCCTCACCTGTGGCTCCCACGCCTCTAGCCTCTGTCCTTCTTTCCCTCACCTCGGGCACCCCCAACTCCACAATTCAGACTCCCAGCTCAGCCCCACTCTTTCCCAAGGTAAAAAAAAAAAAAAAAAAAGCCACCCAGTGGAAAACTCACAGCACAGCTGCAACCCGATCACAGCCCTCCACCCTCAGCACCGCCAGATCCTCGGGGGATCCAATTACTGCTTCTCTGATTCCCGCTGCCAGCAGCATGCAAGGCCCCCACCTGGCAGCCTGCAGCCACCCCTCCAGCCACACTGACCCTGCAGCCTGGGGTCTGGTCCTGCTCTGGGTGTGGCCCTGAGCCATGGGCTGGAAAGGAGGTAGGATGGGTGTTGATGCAATGACAGGGCCAAAACTTGGGACCTCAGACCCCTGACTGAAGTGAGGCACAGTAGTGTGGACACTCATTTGCTGGTTCTTGTGGCTTCTTGTGAATGGTCCAGTCTGGGAACAGTGAGCTCATGTACAAGGGAGAATGTAATGACAGCCTTGAAAGCTGTCATGCAGAAGTTCGCCTGTCAGGTCAGAGGACCAGGGCCTGGCCAGCTCCTGCGTGCTGAGTGTAGGTCAGCATAGGAGGCTGGCGGCCAGGGAAATGACTCAGTAGAATAAGCACTTGCTCTGGCAAGCACAAGGGCCTGAGTTCAATCCCCGGTTCCACCAAAAAAAAAAACAAACCAAAAAAAAAAAAACCAAAACAACACAGCATAGAGGCTGCAGTGAGCTCGGCTGATACCAGAATCAGGCAGCCGCAGCTGACTTGCAGGGTGGCTTTGGGGACTTTGTGACTGTCACTCAGATCACCAGGGCAAGCCAGCTCAGTGGTACATTCCTATGATCTCAGCTATTCAGGAAGCTGAGGCGGGAGGATTGCAAGTTCAGGCCAGTTCAGGCAGTTTATCAAGACCAGGTCTTTTAAAAAAAGGGCTGAAGTTGAGGTTGTAGTTCAGTGGCAGAGCACTTATCTAGCATGCATGAGGCCCTGAGTTCAGGGGGAAAAACAAAACCATAGCCTGAGCAAATGGCCTGACCTTAGAGTCTTTACATACTCAAGTGCAGGGGCTTATGTGGGGCCAAGTCTGACCCAGACTGCCAGAAGTGCCCTTCTGGATCTGACAGTGGAGTGAGACTGCAAGCTGTTCACCCTTAACCCTGTCACTTTAGTCCTGGGGATGACCAGCTGTCTCCGTGCACCCTTGGCCTGAGGGTCGTCCTGGAATGGGGCACAGGGTCTGCTTAGGCACGCCAGGCCTGCCTGTCACCGGCACCTGCCTTGGGGGCTGGGATCCAAGTGAGGAAACTCGAGCTGCTCATCCTGGGTTAGGGCCAAACTCGGTGTCCTTTTCCGCATAACAGCATGTGACCCTCAGGCTTTCCTAGGGACCAGGAACAAGGGACAGGGCATTTTTAGCCAAGCCTCCTGTTGCTCTCCCTTTCTCCTGGGCGCTGCTTCTCTTGAGTGGTGGAGGAGAAGACAGCCCTTCACTGGGCACCATTGAGGAATGTGCATGAATAGGGCTTGGCGTCCTTGTCTGGCCAGGTCCCTGAAGACACCAAGGAACAGAGGGGACCTGGGACTTGGGGAGAGAGCTGTGCACAAGTCCCTGCTGATCTCAGGCCACCTTGTGGAACACACACTTCTGAGAGGCACCAGGCTGTCTGCAGCCAGGCTGTGTGCCAGGAACTGTCCTGTAGTGACAGTCAGGGTGGCACCTCCTCCCCAGAGACAGTGCCCAAGTTCTTGGCACAGTGCTCCCATAATGCCCACACCTAATTTCCAGGCTAGAAAGTGTTGCTGATTGGGGGCATGTGCCAACAATGTGCCTACACGCAGGTCTTCCCATCAGGTCCTCTAGGCATGTCTGTGCGTAACTGTGGACACCAGCTGCCCCCTTCAGTCTAAGCCTACAGCCAGACTGCAAAGGAAGCTAGGGTGTCCTGTCCCTTGATTGGCAGCTAGGCCTCATTAGTCTGATGGTACTGGCAGGGCACTCATGGAAATCAAGTGCCAGCAGTAGAAAGCCCAGCCACCGGGTGCTAAGCACCCTGGCTCTGGGCAGCCTCTTGGTGGGAGAGCCAGGAGTGGCTGTGGGTGCTCAGTTTTGCTTCCTGAAGCGGCCAGAGTGTGTGTGAGTCAAGGGGCTTATTGGACCCAGGGGAGGGGATCCGTTGGAAGGAAGCAGTTGGCTAGGGTTTTCCCACACTGGCCTCCATGCAGCCCCTGGGGCTCTAGTGCGGCTGCTTCCAGGGAACAGTTTTCTCTTGGATCCCAGTAAGGTCTCTGGCACATATCAGGCACTTGCCACGTACCCATGACTGGTGTGGGGTCTGGTTCCTTTTGTTTGGTACTCGGAATTGAACTCAGGACCTGGTCTGGTTCTCTTTAAATTTTATTTATTCATTTAGCAGAACTGAGGACTGAACCCAGGGATGTGCTATCACTGAGCTGTGTCTTCAGCCCTTTTTATTTTTCAAGTGGGCTCTGGCTAAGTGACTAAATTGTCCAGGCTGATCTCAACTTTGTCATCATCTTTCCAGAGTTCTGGGATCACAGACACACACCACCCTTCCTACTTTGGCATCCGGGGGATGGGGGTAGGGGCTGATTCTTGTATGATGGGCTGTGCCTCTGTAGAAAGACAGGACACTGTGTGTGCGCATGTGCATGCATGCACAAAGGTGCACATCGACATGGACAGGCTGAGCTGCCATGTTCACCTGCTAAGCCAGCCTGGCTGAGAGAGATGATGCCCTTACCTTACTTACCACAGCCTCAGAGTTTACTCATGGCTGCTTAGCAGCACCATCAGGCTGTGCTCTGCTCACTACAGCTTACTTACTTCGAAGGCAGTGGCCACACACCAGAACTGCCACCCAGCCTGGGTCCTCCAGAACCTCCTTTTCTCCCACATGTAGTAGCCAAATATCTCTGCTATGCAGTCTGCCTGGGTCAGTTAGTTGCTGCTACCCTGGGAGCCCCACTGGCCTGCCCCCCACTTGGAACCCAGGGTAGCAGGGAGTGTGTGTCCTCCTGTGTGCGGGGGACATCTGCACACCAGTACCAGGCCTGGGCATGGGTAAGGCTGCCTGAGACTCCAGTGCAAATATATTTGTCTTAAGGGAGGGGCATCTTTTGTGATGGGTAGCAAGGCTCTTGGGTGGGTAGTGCCCCCAGCACCTACCTCAGGGGAAGCTGGCTGCTAGTGGACACGCAGCTGGGCTCTCTAGAGCACCACTGAGTCCAGGAGCAAAGGTGGCCTCAGCATCAGAACGCCCCTGACCCCTAAGTGAGGGGGTCTAGCAAGGGCCAGAAGCAGAGAAAGCCTTAGAGCCACCCTGCTCCCTCTCTCCTTACCCTGGAGATCTCTAGAAACCTCCTTTCCCCAGATGCTGGTGAAGTGGCTGCCCTGGACTCTGCAAGTCCCCGCCATTCCCAATCTTTCTAGCCCAGCCAGCCTTCCTGGGGGCTAGCAGGGGAAGGACCAAGTCCCCTTGTCTAGATGGCAGGCTTAGAACATAAGAGCCCAGGCTGGATGCTTATAGGCAGGCTGCCTGTTACTATGGCAACCAGCATGTGCACCAGACTAGGTGCCCTGGGAAACACTGATGGCAGTGGTGTGAGCTGGACTGCCTCTGTGTGTATGAGTGTGTGTGTGTGTGTGTGTGTGTGTGTGTGTGTGTGTGTAGGGGGCGCTCCTTCCTCCACTGGCCCAGAGCCCTGGAAACAGGAAAGAGGAGCTGGGGCAGCACCACCACTGTGGCCTACCTAGCACAGTCCTATACCCACCCAACAGGGGGTGAGGAAAATGCCCCGAGGTACCGCCCACTTCCCAGAGCCCTCCCCCTCATCCCCGCATCCTGATAGGTGTGCTCTGGTTGTCATCCCCCCACCATGCCATTGACCAGCTCCTGTTGTCCTTTTGGCCCTCTGTCCCCCTCCCTGGCTCTGCAGTGAGGAAGGACTACCCTGCTGGGCAGGGAACCACCGGGGACAACCTAGGGCCCTGATTTGCCCCCTCTCTGGGGTCCTGCACAGCAGCTCCCCCTCCCTGAACTGAGCTGCGCTTGGCGGCCTCATGATTTTTTCATGGCTGAGCTCTCTGTTCCCTTCAGTTCCACTTACATGGCTGGCCATGAAGGGGCCCCTTTTCTTACTCTGGCCTGGGTTGGTTTACTGAGGCCTGAAGGCCTGGTTTAGGGTGACAGACTACACTCAGTGGTGGTGGTGTGTGTGGGGGAGACGTCAGTGTTGGAAGGAAGAGCGTGCAGAGGGGCTCCCGGGCTGTTTGCTGGGATGCCCAGGCCCTATTTAGGTGTAGCTCAGCAGCCCTGCACCTCCAGCATAGCACACAAGCACAAAAGCTCCAGAAATACCAGCTCTGGTTGTCCCACACCTTCAGCAAGAAGCTGCAGTCTCCAGACTTTTGTCTCTTGTAAATACCTAATGTTCTGGGTGGGGGCCTGTGCCTAGAAGTTGGAGAGCGCCTATAGAGGATCAGAGGTAGGAGGAAACCTGGGGCCCCTGAAAGGACAAAAGATTCAAAGGGCAAACAAGGGCAGGCCTGAGGACAGTCAACAAGCCCAGGTACCCCCGACCACAGCAGCAGT